TTCGAAATTCTGCCAAAAACAAACACACACGTGTTCCCCCCTATCGTCCCAAAATATACAATACAAACCTACAATACAAATCCTACTACAGCTAATGGCCTCAGTTGCCGAAGCTTAAGATCAATAAAAAAAAAAAAAAGATAAAATTGAAGAAGACTTTATTTTGTCAACCATTAGAAGGATGTACAACTGGAAATGATATTTTTGTTCTTATAAACAATTTTTTAGAAATTAATGAAATTCCCTGGTCAATGTGTGTGCCAATATGCACTGACGACGCGCTGTCCTTACTGGTTCAAAAAAAGGTTTTAAAGCTAAAGTTCTAGAAGTGTTTTCAAGTATAATGTTTAACCATTGTATGATTCATAGAGAAGCTTTAGCTTCCAAAATACTTCAACCAGATGTTAATAAAGTACTCCTTAATGCTATAAGTGTAATAAATTTTATAAAATCAAAGTCATTAAATTTCAGAATTTTTACTATACTTTGCAATGAAATGAGTTCTGACCATGAAAAGTTGCTTCTTCATACTGAGCATAAGGTAGTTGTCTCGTTGTAAAATATTATTAAGCCTTTTTGAACTCAGAGATGAAGCACGAATTTTTCTTCTGGAACGTAATAATACACTTTCGGAACATTTTTTAGACGAGCAATGGGTTGCAATTCTGGGTTATCTTGCAGATATATTTGAAAAACTAAATTGTCTAAATTTAAGCCTACAAAGAAAAAATACTAATATTTTATTTCTTTCTGATTAAATCTATGCTTTTAAAAAGAAAATACTTCTGTGGAAAAATTATATCAACGATGACAAATTTGAAATGTTTTCATGTTTATCAGAATTTCTCAGTGATAATGATGTGTAGGGTGAGGTTGGCAATACCACCATTCCATACCTCCGACGCCGCACTGTGTGTGTGTGGTGAGTAGTCACAGCATAGACATATTAATAAATGGACTGATCGTAGAAAGAGAGGTTCGTATACCAACATTGTTAGAAAGAAATAGCATACAACTTAAGACGGTCATAAAAGAACAAATTACATATCATGGAGTAAAAAACATTATAAACAATTTTTAATCATTTAGGTAGATAACAAAAATTGAAAATTACAATAAATTTAAATTTTGAGTATTTGTCATTTTAATTTTTTTAAATATATTAAGTAGGTATATTAAACATTTTTAATATTTTAATTTTTAACAATGGTTCTTCAGTGTGCAATTAAAACCTGCAAAGAAAAGTCTTCAGGGAAAATAAAGATGCATGGGTAAATATTTTTATTGTCATTATTCATTAACTTTATTAACATAATTAAATAAATATTTTATTTGTCTCAACAGTATACCTCGATCAATTGACATGATGAATAAGTGGTTGAAAACTATACGTTCATTTCAACCTGACTTTCAAACCACTACTCACACTAAAATATGTAGTTTACATTTTTTAGAAGATGACTATAATTTAAGTGTAGTGAACAATCAAAAAGTTTTGAAATAATCTGCAATTCCCAGTGTTTTTACAAAATGTAAAGTATTTTAATACAATTTAATAATAATTGTGTAGTGAACTAGGTAATAGATATAAAATAATTTATTTTGCAATTATAAAAGAAAATAAAACCATGTTATAATAATTAATATTTTATATTTTATAAAATTTAATGTTTATATTATTTATTATCATGATCATCCAAAGACAAATTATTATGTTATCACCTCCAAATTTTGCTTGTCATTCCATGATATCTAATTTTTTGCTCTATGATTTTCTTAAACTATGCTCTATCTCTTTCACATTCATGTATAATATCTTTGATCTCTTTCTAACAATGTTGGTCTCACGGTGACATAGGCGGGGTGTGTGGGAGACGCAGTCCATTTATTAATATGTCTATGAGTCACAGATATCTATATTATACTAGATAAGGTACTCGGGGCGTTGCACATTGCAAATAGTGAAGCCAGATTTCAAGCGCTTATCAGTGTATTATCACATAAGCGCCACACCGCTGGTTGGCAAAATATTCGAATTCTTTACTGGAACTAGCATAATAATTACATAAATTTGTTACTTTTTTTACATAACTTATAGGCCAGTGAATTCAAATTTTTAATCTGTTGTGTATAGACTATAAATGTTACTATGTTAGTATGGTACTAAGTATTTGATGGCATTTGTATTAACATTAAGTATGTATGAAATAGTAAAAACTCATCTTGTATAATTGTTTATTAATTATTAATATATTTTTTACATAATCTCATGTCATTACACTCATAACACATAATATAACATAATATAATATTATTGATTGTTAAATAATATTAACTTGGTCAATAAGCGACGTTTACTAACGTCTGCACTTGTTTTCAACTTGGCCACATAATGAAGACGAACTTTCAAATATTGCTTGCAAATTAAAGTAACTAAATTAAACTTGTGGTTTTCTAAAAATCCGTCATCTACACAATTTAAACAATTAAAAATACTATAATTATATACATGATTTTTAACGGCAAGAATAACTTTTTGACTTAATCCTGATAATAAAGAATAAAAATTTGATGTTAATTGAATTAATGTACTTTCGATAAATTTAACAATTACTACCACATCCTTTGAACTTTTTATTAATACTCCTCTATTTTTAACATCTACTAATATCGAATGGGGATATTTATGACTATAATTATGTTCAGATTCATTTTCTATCATACTGTAGGCACAAGTTTGACAGTCAATTTTTTTATAGACACTTCTAACGATAAATCCACAAATATAATATAAAATATTATCTTTTACCAAATCAAAACTATCAATATATGTCAGAAGACTTGATACATTTTCATCTTCTACTTCTTCGATAACATTGTCTTCTAATGTTTTTTTTGCCCAGCGTATCTCAAAAACACTTTCAGAACCTGTGTTATCTAGTGCAATACAATTAGCAGCATATGAAGAAGAAATGGAATTTTTTAAAAGTATTTGTTTCAATGCTGTTTTAAGTTCTAGAGCATTAGGATTGTTATTGTTTCCAAAACGCTGCCTTATTTTTGAGAAAAACATTTCTAGATGATCCTGTGAAAACTTGTATGTTAACATGTATTTATATTCGGTAGTAGAAAACAACTCATCTGCTATGCTAAATATTGATTTCACTGCTGTAGCCAACCCTAAATGAGAAATTTAATATGTGTGTCAGATTTGTCGAAACAATTTTAAACAATTTTATACTTACCAAGAATAAATGTTTTACGTGGAGTTAAATAAAGGAACTTTCCTTCGATATTTGTAAGTTTTAATAAATACTCAATTTGGGGTATAATTATACTTCTCATTCTATCAACATCATTTCTGTACAGGGGTTTTTTAAAACCTTTTCCAAATGGATTGCGACTATTTAAAAAATCAAATATCCTGTCGATTACTCTTATAAATGTTTCAGTTGGTTCACCTGAAATACAGCAAAAAATATATATGTATTATAAACATTTATTATTTATGTATAGTACTTAAACTCAACTGTCTTTAAATGTAGGTTCATTTATATGTCTAAAAAATTCAAGAGCATCAGCTGTTGATGAGGATAAAGTTTGAGCTGCGAGTTTCACCTTCATGATATTTTTCTTCCAATCAATATGGGTATTTGATAGTTTATTTGCAATATTTAACCCTATGTATTGTTGAGCTAAAATAAAATAAAAAATATCTAATGTAATTTTTTTTAATAAAATGTTTAATGTAAATTATGTGATTTATACCTACCTGTATTTAAATTCTTAATGTATGACCAATCAATAACATCATCATTGTATTTAAATTGCTGATAAGTAGCTAGTGCATTGCGAGCAAGTTTAATATTATGACAAGCATCCGGCACATAATATATCTATTTATTAATATTGAAAAAAAATATTAATATTAATGTTAAATTAAGTTCAACAAATTAATGTTATATACATTACCTTCCAATCGATCCCAGGTATAGGTACTAAATGATTCACGTATTTCTTCATAAGAACCACTTAGTTTGCACCCTAAGTGTGTCATAGTCGACAAGTTGGTTGTAGTTCCATCACAAGTGACACCCCAAACTCTAGCACCTGCTTCTTTAGCCATTTTAATTGCAGTTGTAATTAGTCCAGCTTGTATAATAGCTGTACTTTTTGCCTGTAAAAAGTATCCTATTGGCCATTTCCATTTTCCATTAAGTCCAACCAACATAAAAAATAATGCTTCAGTTGCGGGGGTCTCTTGAGTTTCGACTTGTATGCCACCAAAATCGCAGTAACCTACAAATTTATCTTCTTTTCCATCATATACAATTTTTTTTCTTATTGACATACTATCAAATACTAGATTGCAATCCTTCTCACTAGCTGGAATTAGTTTAATGCTCTTAAAAACTTCTTCGAAAAAACCAGATTTTGCATTTACTGTTGAGGTCCAATTAGCGATTGAAGATGGATTAGGAAGAGTTAGAACAGTACTGAAAAATTATACACAAATAATTATAATAACTTATAACAAGTACAGTGGTTGTCGTTTATAGTGTTCACTGGTAATAAGAATCAGCCACTTACAGTGTTTTCTAGTTATATCAAAAAAGTATTCAAAATACTCTACTATCAATATAACAATACTATAAGCGGCAGACAATGTATATTTGAATAAAATAAAAATAGTCATTCTAATTAATAGAAAAGCATGAATTACCGGCAGAAGTTATAAGCTTTTGGTGAATAGTAGTGCAAGGTTAAGGCAAACTCTTTCATTTCTTTTGTATAGCGACAACCTGTACCTTTTTTGCTGTTTTTTAATTCATTTTTAAATAAGTCCAATATAGTACCTATTGGTTAATATTAAATGAGCTTCAAAAAAGTGCTTAGAAGCAGAAAAGCAAGCAGAATATTTTATAAACAAATTTTTAACATTGATATTTACCGCTGAAACTATTTTCTATTATATTTACTGGTTCACCATCGATTAAGCCTTAACTTTTCAAATCACTCAATAATTCTTGCAGGTTATATATTTTTTTATCTTTTCTTCTTAACTTTTGCTGCAAAGTTCTTATTTTTTTTTTCAATAAAAGTTCACTGGTGTAAGTATTGACTGTTTGAACTTCTTTATTATTGGTAGTAAGAACTATTTCATCAACTTTATCATATTCCAATGGAATGTTATCTGAAGTTCCAATTTCATCATCTTCCAATGGAATGTCATCAGAAGTTCCAATTTCATCATCAACTAATCCTAATGGAATGTCATATTCTCCTAGTTTTGAATTAATTTTTTTTTTTTTAATTGTCATTAGATATAAATTAAATTAAGTTGTAATTTGTATAGTTTAATTTAATTTAATAAGTACCTGCTGCATTGAAATTTGAATCTCCAATTTGAATGAGATTTCTTTCAAAAGGTTCTTTTCTTGGAACTTTGGACGTCTTTTGGTAATAAGAAGGAAATGCAGAGAACACTGTCGGCACAACATCGTATTTTAAAAGTATTTTTTTATTATTACCCAGTTTTACTTGATAATTTTCATAAACAAAATGATCACTGCATAAACGGCTCCATTTCGTTGGTGTAAAATTCTTTCTTTTTATGGCGGCAATCCATTTTTTATTCAGATTAACATTGGCTAAAGGAAATCTATAATATTCAAAATAATTATTCTCAGATACAAAAACTATATGCAGGTATACCTACATAGCTACATGTAACTTATATTAATAAATAAAAAGTAACTAGGTTATCATAGATTAACTTACCGAAAAAAATGAATAGTCTGACCAGGTTTATATCTATTTGTACATCCATACGCAACACACGACACTGGCATGATTACATTTAAAATATAAAGCACAATAAGTAAAATAATATAATAATTAATGTCAAAAAAGAATCAAATAAATGGTAATAAAGTTCATAAAACGCATAAAATTATATTATAATCATAATACTAATTCAATGTTTTGCCAACCACGAAATTGGCGATAACGGATTATTACTATTAGTTAGGCTTCATACGATAACGCGAGTACCTTATCTAGTATAATATAGATATCTGTGTGAGTAGTTCGTTACGACTCTCTCTCTAGGTAGATTGTACATAGAAGCATGTATGAACGTGTTTGTTATTTGAGGGGTGACATTCCACAACGTACTATTGCCAAAATATACAAAATCGAGATATGGATGGATTCTTATTGAAAAAAAGGAGGAAAATCGATTGGCGCAATCAGAATTAAAGCTTAATCATTTATTCCATGAGAAAAATCGGGTCATAAATGTGTAATTCATCCAAAACGTACTATTTTTTTTTTTAGTCCAAAATGCACTATTTTTTTTTGTCCAAAACGCACTATTGCCCATATTAAAACCATGTAGGCAACTAATGTGGAGGGGAAAATTTTTTACAATTCACTATTTCCAGTGACGTTTTACTATGTTTTACTTAATTTTAATATTTTATAACATAACATCATATTTTAATGTATATAATTTTGAATAAGATAAGAACATGGGCATTTTTATTTGATATTACGTAAATGGAGATAAAAATAATTCAATACTTTGTTTACAATTTATATTAATAGAAAAGTTATTAACAAAATACTGCAGCTATCTGCTGGTCTTCACTGATAGTGTATTAGTGTAGTGCATAGTGAATTGTATGTGTCTTGTGAGTTGTGAGTCGTGACGACTATAATGAAATATTATTGTAATAATTTACTTATTTACAAATTAAAAAATACGCCATAGTCAAGTACTACTAAGTACTAGTAATAATTGAAATAATATGGCCAATAGAGCAATGAAAATGTGTCGCATGTCTACAAAAGTAAGTACAAGTACCTACATATTATTACTTTAAAAATACTACACAGTACCATAGTTAATTAATAATATAATGTACCTAGTTATAGTTATTATGGTTCTCAAGTCAATTTATTGTACCTACTTAAATTGTGCGGAGGCTATAAGACACTCTATTACTAGTTTATATTTTAACATTTAATTAACTATATTATGTTAAATATATATATTTTTTAATTTTAGCATGAAAGTAAAAAAAATGAACTGCAGAATATGGTTTTCAGGAACAATTTTACTGCTATAAGTCCAAATGTAATTTGATTTTATATTATAACATACATTTATAAAAAACTTTGATTTATAATAATTATTTAATTTATAGAGTAAAGTGAATTCATGGTTAAATAAATCCTTTGCTGACAGCACTAGTCAGGTAAGTTAAAATAGTCGTGTTTCTATTTTAACTAAAATACAATTTATTCTTGCTTACTTATTTTAAAATCCAAGTATTAATATAATAATACTGAATACTGATTATTACATTATTTGAATTTAATCTAAGTTTTGGCCACCCTCAGCAGGATATTTGTAGTTGGTGCTCTGAAATGGCTGTAAACATTTAAAAAACGGAAGACCCAATCAAAAAAGAAGAACTAGTAAAAGAATTGAATGAACACAAGGCTTTAAGTAAGAACTTTCATAAAATTATGCATGAAACAAAAAGTGATACTATTTCAGTGGCCTTTGATATGATGCAAAATCAACCTCTTCCAAAGTGTCACTGAAGTGTTCTATAGCCGTCAGGTTTGGCTGTATAATCTCACGTTTGTTATAACCTCTGCTGAACATCAAACTATTGATAACTGTTTTTTTTACACTTGGTTCAGGGGCGGCTCCAGGGGGGGCCCTAGGGGCCGCGCCCCCCCCCCCAAGCCCGTATTTATAAAAAAATTATATTGTTAACAAAAATTGCATATTATAATATTGTCATAATATGGACTATAATATTATGAGCCATAGAGCTTACGACAGTGTATACGATGTACCTGCTGGCTGCTATCTATTCTTACGAAGAACCAATAAGGCTATAAATAAACTATATTAATATAAAATAATATACTATGGTATGATATTATTATTTTATTATGTGAATGTTGAATTGCGTATTTGCGTAGCACACATTTTTATACGGACTACGAGAATACTAAGAAGTAAGAATATTATCTTGATAAGAATTGTTATAATAATATAATCTAATTCTATAAATAATGTAGACAATGTAGTAGACCGTCGCGCGTCGCGTCTTTGCCCAATATCGTCGATTAAGGCTCGGCGCACACCAATGCAGTGCGGTTGCGGCGCGTTCGCTGCGCACTGCATGCAGTGCCGCATTTAAAATAGAACACACGTTATCTTATGGGAATGCCCACACCGATGCAGTGCGGCGGCGGTGCAGTGGTGTTGTGTATGCGGCGCGCTGCATGCGGTGAGGCATGGCGGTTTTTTCTTGCAGTGCGCTTGCGGTGAAAAGTCAAAATATAAACAATTATCGATATTATACATTGTTTTTAAGTTGTTATCAACTTATCAATACGTTATCAATTGTAATCATTGTACCAAACTTCAAACTACCTATCTAATAGGAGTATAATAAGAACACAGAACATTATTTTTGGTATTTTTTAAAAATATATTTACTTGTACCTTGAAATTATAAAAATGGCGGAGGATTGTGAAAAAATGGTTCAATTGGTTAAGCACATCGAAGACCACCCATGTCTTTTTGATTACAATAGAGCGGATTATTCTAACGACACAGTCAAGACAGCAGCATGGCATGAAATTGCAAAGGAAATTAATTTATCAGGTAAATAACATAATTTTAATTAAATTACCTTCTTATAATAAATGTGAAACAGAAACATATATTGTGTGATGAATGCATATAATATGTTGAATAATTTACAATTATTCACAATTTTTGTTCACCAGCTACTAAATTTCTTACACTGTTCTAGTTTGTGCCCTCAGGCAGTACTGAGCAAACATTTTCTATGATTAATTGATAATAATTAAAGTTTGTAAGTAATTTTTTTGCCCAATACTGCCCTCTAATTTTTAATAATATTGTCAAGGAGGCAAGTAAATGTGATTGTTCACTTATTAATTTTTATTCTTCTAAATATTATTACTAATATTAATGACTTATGGCAATAAATGTTACTTCCTAGTTACATAAGTTATAGACTTTATAAAAATGTATTAAACAAATACTAATGTTTTATATTTATTATAAGAAGCCCAGTCTTATAATTTAATTAAAATAATATTATTAATATTAAAATATTTATATCAAGGTTTTAAGTGACAACTACATTATAAATTAACATAAGTTCATCATATTATTATACATACAATAATCCTGAAGCTAGTTTGAGTTCAGTAAAAAATCAATAAGATATCTCATAGACCATAGTATTTATTTCAAACTGTTTAATTAACATTTAAAAGTTATTTATTATTTTCCTATATCAAATGTGCATTAAGAAAAATTTTCTTGCCAAGGTACCTGACCTTCATTTGATATAAAATAACTACACAATATCTCTCTGTTATTTTCTGCAACTCTTGTGGGTCTTGCTACTTGAATAAGTGGTAGTTCTTGATTATTTTGTACTCCCATTGAATCAATTGATTGAGGATGTGATGGTGTAGAAAATGTACCTTCTCGCATACGTATGAAATTATGCAGAACACATGCTGCTTTAATAACAGATTCACATGTTTTTACCTTACAAGCTAGAGGTTGCTCAAATACTCTAAATTTAGAAACAAGCATTCCAAATGAGCATTCTACGCTTCTTCTGGCTCTGGAGCACCTAGTAAATAAATAAAGATATATTATTCATTTTTATGAAGTCTTCTTAGGTTAGGTTCCAACTTATATTTTATAAGTGGCTAATTAAGTTATTTTAATTAATTGATTAATTTATTGAAATATTATACGAGTTTAGACCCAGTTATATGAATTAATTAAATTTAATACAATAGCATTCGAAAGATAAATTTTTAAACAGTAAATACTTAATTTAATAGTACAAACAAAAATATAAATAATATTGTATGTATAGCATATACAATAAGATACAATAGCATTCAAATAATTGTTTAATTAATATTATATTTATTTTAATATTATTGTATATACCTGTAGTTAAAAATCCTTCTGGTTTTATTTAATGATCTTTTGGGAAAAGGTCTCATCAGGTTTTTTTTCAATGGGAAGGCTTCATCTGCTACAAAAAAATGTGGGAAAGGGCCCTTGGAGTCCCAGCCAGGTAAAGGCTTTGGGTCAGGGGCATCCAGCAAATCATTTTCAATGGCTTTGCCTAACGAACTTCTTCTAAACACCCTACCATCACTATTCCTACCATAATCACCAACATCAATGGTTAAAAAAAAGTCCATCAGCATCTACACATGCCATTAAAACAATACTAAAATATTGCTTGTAGTTGAAAAAAGCTGATCCCGTTTTTGGAGGGCATTTAATTTTAAAATGTTTGCCATCTATAGCACCTTCAAAATAACATTAATTATTTTCTTCAAATTATATAAATTTAATTCAGGTAGACATTTTAGTATAAAATTTACCTAGGCAATTGGGTATATTCCATAAATCCAAATAACGTTGCGAAACGTTTTCCCATTTTTCTTTTGTTGGTGGCGGCATATATTTTTCTTTTAGGCATTCCCAAATTGCCATAGTTGTTTCTGCAATGATATTCCTTGTAGTAGACTCTCCTCTCAAAAAATACATGGAGTGTGCTTTAACGTTACCTCCCATTGCAAGGTATCTAAAGAGTAATAAACAACTCATAGTACTTACGTCAAATTATTTTTTTATAATTGTATGAGTATATTTATATATTATACACTTACTGAACATATTTAGTTTTAAAGTGTCAAAAATATTATAATTGTGATTATTAATTTTTGTAGTGGCTGATTGTAAAGAAAAGT